ATCAGTATATCATGTTCATTTAAAATAATGACAGAAAGTTGGTCAATTACAGAAGAGTATTAGAGCTATACTTTAGGAAAAAAACAATCAAATGCAAAACAAATTATTTAGCAATGCAAGAATTAAGAGAAGAATGTTGACGAATAAAGCTAGACTTTTAGCAAATGCACTAACATTAGTAGTTGGGTTTATTTTCAGGGTTCAACTTCAATCTTGAAATGTTTATTCCCAACATTTCGACTTTATTCTATGAGTGCTTTTTTCCCTGGCATAGCGCTTGTACTTTTCCTTAGTAAAGAGAGAAGACATTTTGGTTGAAGTTATTGATGAGTTACAGATCCTCACCGCTCGGGGTTTGGGTCTGAGTGGATCATAATGATGTGCCAGTAAACAGGAGTTCCTCTGAAAAGTAGTACTACAGGATGCAGTGTGTTTATGTTGGTGTGTAGTTCTTCTTGACCCTGTCATGTCCATGTTTGTGTACCTGGCGAGGAAGAGGCCCAGACAGTTTTACTGGAATGCCTATCAGCAGGCGGCTGGCTTGTTAAATACTCTCCAGAGGTTTCGTTTTTGCCAGACATATGGCAGAAATGTGTCTTTGACTAAAACATGACAACATGTATGCCCTTCAAATGGAGCAGTTGAGTCATAATAATAAAAAATGTGCACACATGCTTTCCTGCTATTGGAAGGAAACAAAGAGCATTTGTATCTGAAACAGTTCCAAAAGCAGTTTGCATAATCTTTATTCACAGTCACAAACCCATCTTAATTGATTTCAAACAGTTTTAGAGGACGTGATACATCAAACCAGGCAGAATCAAGAAGAATCGGGAGGAGAACAAGACTTTTAAAAAGACTGAACTCCACTGTGTTAAGTCTCGTTTCATCGACGGAGAAATATTCTTGAATGTGGGAGAAGTCAGAGAAGCCACAGTTATGCAGCGAGCTGGGCTGTGGCCTCCGTCTCGCAGCAGATCCTCCCCCTCGTCTGGAAGCTGTTGAGTTTTCCTCCAGATGTGTGCGCCTGATCTTTCTGATGACACAATGGTGAAGGCAGAGAAAAACAAAAAGAGGGTTCCAAATAAAAACACAAACAGGATGATATAAGAGGGGGAAAGTAAGTGTGTTTGTATACTTTTACTTTTGGGTACACTTAAGTACATGTTATTGGACTTTTGGAGAGGCAAGACGTATAGTACACATATATTCTATAAGTGCACAAATAAGAGGATGTTCTGCATTCAAGTGCTTTCCCCTGGGCCCTTAAAGTTAGTTTCTGAGAAAACATTCAAATAAAGAAAATATTATCTTTGGACAGCATCACTACTGAAATGTAGAAATTGGTTGGATGAATTCATATTGAAATGGTTAAAAACACGATACCACATTGGGCTTTTCATGAAGACTATAAGTAACCTCTGAGTATTCGTCTTTTACTTGTTTGCAGCTTAAGCAAGGGAAGTGAAGCAAGTAAAGGAACAATAATTTAGATGTATCCCCATCCTCTTACACGTGTTCTGGCACATCAAAAAACAAAGCAGGAATTTCCTCTATGAGGCATTTGGGACTTGCATTCCCATTTTCCCCCCTCTCACATTCACAGTTTAGAAATTGCCAGTTGCTTAAACGGCAGGTGTCTTTGACTTGGTCATCCTCCAGAGAGAACAGGTTGCACAGCTGTCTGGCACACACAGTGCTCACAAAAGCACGGAAAGAGAGTGAATGAGGCACTTAATGAAAGATAGCAAACAACTCCTTTACTCGAGTGAACTCTTGGTTCTTGTAGGACAGCTCTGGCGGGGAGATGCTCCTGCTGTGTCTTTTGTGTGTGCAAGTGGATCAAACAAAAGCTTATTGGGGAATCTCTGGGAAGCCCAAGCTGTCGGAAAGGAATGCCTCTTCTCTTGTGGCTCTGTGCTTGAGTCTTAATCAGTCACTGGAGGGGCTGGCAAGCTGGGGGCCTCCTAGACCCTGCGGGAGGACAGGAACCCACTCACTCCTGACCTCACTTCAATGCCTCAATAAAATCTATTAGCTGAACATAGACAGACAAAAGGCTGGTCATTGTTGCTGATGTAATGCAAATATATCAAACTAATTGGACCCTGTTAGCCTTTATGGGCATACTGTCAAGGTTCTTATGTAATCTCTTTCTAAAATCCAGGGAGTGGCTGAACATTTCAATGGCTTTCTTATTTTAATTGTTTTAATGGAAAAAATTGTTTTAAATTCTATGACAGGAAAATATATGCGGAGGGTCTAAAGGAAAGTGGAAGTTATTTGTGGCCAGTACAAATAGTCGAAACATAAAGGGTGTGTGTTCCCTCTAAGAAGGCGGAGTTTTCTCCCTGGGGTCCTGAGCCAAACTGGTGTTATGTAACTGATACACTGCTCCTCATCCTGATGTGGAGTTACCCGAAAGTGTACAGAGAGCTCTGTGCACAAGCACATGGAGAACATTCTGCGGAGCGTCTTTAGAATGTTAGCGGGACATTTTTCCAAGAAAATGGGCCTTTAAATCTAGATGTAGATGTTTAGCCAGAGAACTGTTTTACAGCCGTAATCCAAATTTAAAACTGACCTTAAACACTGCCAAGGATCATCGTTGGTTAATGTTCAACTCAGGAGGCTCTTGGTGTGCCTGCAGAGGAATTTGGAAATGGGACTTTGCATTTAGATTTTGAAAGCAGCCAGACGGACAGACATGGGCAGCGGTACAAGCCGAGGGAAGAAAGTTGCACCTGCGTGTGTCGGCGAGGTGAAGGGTACAAAATCAACCTCTGGTGAAACTTCACCAAAACAGGAAAGCCGGCCTTTTAAGCCTCTTAAAATCCAATCAATTTTGCGCAACGCGCGCAACCGTGCGCAACCGGAGTGCCACAGCGAGGGGCACGACTCTGACTTTTCTCGGGAGGAAGATGACATTGACGGGGAGATGGACACTGTTATTGCGGGTTACGAGGAGCGAGAGAAAACTTCCGTGAAGAAAACTCCTCCCAAGAAGATAGTCATCAGATCTAAAACATACGGACTGTGTCCCTTCAGCCAAGAGGATGAAGAGGACTTCAGCTCCGAGGAGCCACGTGGCTCACACGGTGGATCCGGAGATGTAAACAAGAGGAGCAGTGATGCTTCCACACAACCTGCGTGCCCCAGTCAGCACAGTGTAAGGATTTTTATTATACTATAATGTGTTCATTATTATTGAAAAACACGTGATTTATCTGTCAGTTTATTTATATCAGCAAGGTTGTTTTCTGATTAACAACAGGTCTGCAGAACCTTTTACTGCTAAATGAAAACACATGCCATCCTTTCTTTCCTTCTTTATCTCTGGTGTGTCTCAGTCCTCCCAGGGTTTTTTGACAAGAGGGGCTTTGTTGGAAGCTGTTCCCACATCAGAAAAACAATCGTAAGTAGACAGCTCTTATAAATAATGAAATTCCGAGCTCAGTGGAGTAGTAAAAACTGAGCAGGGTCAGATCAAATTTACCTTAAAGGGATCCAAATACCAACCCATTATTCTCAGGGACGGTCAGATTAGTGAGACGTCTGCAAGCAGGACAGAAACAAACACACGTCTGTTGTTGCTGCTTTGTTGGAAGTGAGTGTGATAACCGGAACTAAGAATAGCATCCCCAATCCAAACACAAGGAGGAAACTATATTTCATGCAGGGCCCCTATAGGGAATTATATTATTGGAAATTCATCACTTGATGTTGTTGTGGATTGATCTATTGAAAAAATATATATCTGTTGTGAAATCACTCAAAAATAGAAAGTATCACTTTATGTTCTGTGTTATATCACTATGTTGATGACACGTTTCTCCACACTTCCAGGACGTTTGGCAGCTCCTCTCTCACCATGCCAGCCATCATGTACGATGGATCAGAAGAGGAGCTGATGAACACTATTGAGAAAGAGTTTAATTGACCCCCAGCTGAGAGTGCTGCAGCAAAGCTGTTTTCTTTTTCAGCTGTCCTTGTGGCACAGAAAAGTTTGCGTTAGCAATTTCTAAAATAGAAATGGATGCAGGTTTTTTTTTGACAATTTCCTGTTACCAAGGAAGGCTACATCCACTGTATTTAAGCAGGATTTCACGGATAAATCCTACATTGTTTGTGTTGAACTTAAACTGCTGCACTCCAGGCCTTTGCATTTCACCCAAGTCTTATTTAACAACATGTGTCAGTGTAATCGCAGAGCTATAACAACAACTTGAACAGGTGCCAGGAGGTTCTCCTTGCAGTCCAGAGAGCTGAGAGAAGCCTTCCTGGTGTGTTATCTGCAGCGGTGTCACTGTCACCCCCTCAACGCTGCAGGCCTCCCACAGAGCATACACCTTCTCATTTGTTACCTATACCTACTTTACTTTAACTTTGCTGTTAATAGGTAAAGGAAAGAGCACACATGTTTCTCTGGTTGCTAAAACTGAGGTAGTAGCATTAAAACCACATTCTTGTGGCCATGCGATATGCAAGCATCACATTTTCCAGCAGCAGATGTGCAGGACAGGGTATAGGGTAGAGTTTTTGTGGCGACCCTGCAAAGGTATGAGCTGGGATGTTTGTTTAAGGTTTCCTTCCTGGCCACAGTTCCTGCACTTTTCCACCCTTGTGAAGAAGGAATGTGTGGCAACAGAGACTTTTAGTCAGGCTCACTTAAGACGCAGCTTTGTTTCAGCCACATTCAACTATAATGGGATGCTGCCACTTAGTGGTGGAAAATAGTAGCATGAACACATACTTGAACATTAATAATGTATGTGTAAACAAATGGCATACTGTATGTCAATGATTGGCAAAAGGGGAAATTCAACCTGGCATGTAGAGAAAGGTTTTTTTAATGTTGTTTTATATTGCAAATAAAAATGGATTGTTGCTGTATTTCTGGTCATGTGAGAAGTTTCTGTAAGAATCAGTGTGTGTGTTTAAGTTGGCTGAGTTGACTTGTACTTAAAATACCTGTGTTTCCTAATAATCCACCCCAAACATACAGTTCGATGCGCCCTTTAATTATCACAGTCATCATAGGAACATTTTTGTAAGGGTGTTTCAGCAGGCAGACTGTACAAAATAAAATGTACATCTCTAAAACCATAAAATAAAACACCATAAAATATTTGGCACACTTTTTAAAAAAATTAAAAAGCTACCCCACAGTGCGACTGAGATATACATACTGAAGAGAGTTCAGTACTGGTGTGCCAATGCATTGTTCTTGGCAATTAAGACATTCTTTAAACTAATGCTTCAGCCTCTTTGAAGGCCTGTAGTAAGACATTCTCCTCTGTACGGCCGTCAGTAGTTTTGGAGGTAGGAAAGAAAGCTGGTTTCTGAGTGTCTCATTGTTCCTCACATTCTTTGCAATGTAATCCTCACAAATCCTGCGAGAAGAAAAAGTATGTCATTTTTTCATTTATATTTCCAAAACACATTACCTAATTTAAAGTAAATGTAACCCTTGAAAGGAGTTGATACTTCTTTAGAAATGGATCCTTACACAATACATTTTAAAACAGACCTGTTAACCGTCAGAAATTAATGTTTTTCTTTTTAAATTCCAACTTTGTTTAACAAAATGTCTGTGTGTCTGTCTTTTTCATTTTTTTCTGGTTAAATTTGTAGATTATTTTCCGCAATGTTTTTATGAAATGATCTCTTTAGGTTTTATAAATCATATCCTGTTTCTTACCTGAATAGAGGATATGGCTGTGTTTGGAAGACAAGGGCGTCATTGCAGTGACTCTGAAAAATAAATATGCAAGTTTCTTAAGGTCAGTAAACAATACCTGTACACATCTCTATTATAGAGATGTTGAGGGGTAATTAAACACCTGCTGATTTAAAAACAAACTTGCATCCATATAGTTTCAGATGTTTGCATGTTTTAAAGGGATTTTCCGAGGCTTTTATAGAATTTAGTTTGTAAAGATTTCAGATCTGCCAAAAATAGGTATAATTTCACATCTCTTAGTTGGAAAATGTCTCTTTGGTACTTACATTGTCAATTAAGAGGATGTAGTCACAACTTCCACCAAATACGACCACATCAGAGTCTTTGCTTGGACATGCTGTGTGCCATAACCTTCCATAGGAGAAATGATGCTTTTAAAAATCATCTCAGAATTTCTGAAAACTCTCCTACAAAGTAATACATGTAAAACACACAGTTATTTTTCCACAATTGCCACATATTCATAAATGACTACCGTGGCTTATTCTTGAAGGGATGCTCGACTTCTCTCCATATCTTTGTTTCAACATCAAGCAACCATCCATCACCTGATTTAGAAAGTACATGTTATTGAATTCCAACCAATGAATAATATAAAATGACCAAAGGAATAAGGAAATCAAAGTGAACGGGTGGGTACACTTTCTTACTCATTGGTTTGCAGTCTGCACTGAGACCTCCAAACAGGAACACGCTGCTGTCTGAAACTGCTGTGAGCGAATGCCACGATCTGCCCACTGGAATGGAGGAGCCTGGCGTTCTGGAAAATATATTTAGCGCACTGGTGTCAAAAGACAAACCTGGCTAAAGTTAATTTTAAAAAATCCATTACAAAGTTGAAAAAAAAGTAATTTGGGCACACTTGCAGTTTGCTATTGATCACAAACAGATACACACATTTCTGACCACGTCCATGATTCAAGGTCGAGGCAGTGAATGTCATTTGTTCTGGTTTCCTGAATATAAAAAAAGTAAAGCATAAGTTACTAACAACAGACTTGGATTTATGTTTCTCCAATGTCCTTGCTGCTACTGGTGACTTCTTGTTGTGTACTTGTTCATATATGAGAGGAACTGAAAATGATGTAACTCCCACCATGACTCTGCCTCCACAGATGTATCCTCTTTTTCCGATCGTGGCACTGGCGTGGGCGGCCCTGGGGTCTGGAGTACGGCCCTGCGCACAAAAACAGTCACAAAAGTCATCTGTGGATTTTGAAATTGTCTTAACATATTTCCAATACAGCATAGTTTCCCTTACGTTTGAGGTCTTATTTAACAAAGCAAAATCCATGCATGCATTCAAGGCATACAATTATAAATCGCACTCAAATATGCTCACATGGGTTTGGGGTTGACTCCAACTGGCTTGCTTGGGGTCAAACATATGAACCTCATTGTTCCATCCCCAGAAGATTTCTTCAACCTGAGAGTGTAACATAAATTGAAAATTATTTATATGAAGGCATTTAAGGGTATTGTTGGTCAGTACCAGTGATATCAAAGTTTCGTCCTCAGATGCTGACATTTCACATTTCTGTCCTGGAGCACTTTAAAACTAAATTTCAGGAAAAGTAACAAAACAACACAGAAAAATGGAGCACTGATGTTTTCAGAAATATTTATGTAATGCCTTATCGACACTGTTGGGTAAGCAAGTGTTTATGGAACCCAGTGACGGTGTCAAAAGTCAATAATATTGATTACCCATGATGCTTTATCTATAATAAAGCTTCTGTTTGTTCTATCAACATTAGACAATAGTTTGTGACCATATCCTCCAAAGTAGATGATCCTGGAAAACAGTAAAGAAAGATTATCACAATTATTATCGTGTGTAATATGGTGAATAAAATAAATAGTAGTCATGTAATATTAAGATTTTAATGGTGTTTACTTTCCCTTGTAAACCCAGCAGGACAGTTTGTCTCGATGTGACGGGGCAGAACCAATGTCACAATTGATCTTCTTCCACGTGTATTTGCCGTCTGTCAGGTCGACACAATATATCTGTTTAAAGTCAAACACTGATCACTTCTTCATGTCGACATTTGCTCATTCTAAGATGTGACCTTTAGCAGGGATTTTACAGAATGAAAGTAATTATTAACAAAAATATGAATAAAAACATATTATTCACATCAATTCAACCATAATTCGATAAAGTACTGTGTGTTGAGAATCTGCCTTACCTGATTGGTCTGTCCATTGTTATCACAACCTCCAAATATGTACAAGTGTCCATTTAGTAAGCAGCCACAGGTTCCAGACATAGATGGAGGAACTTCCCCTGACATGTGAAACACTTCCCTTCAAGAAAAGGTTTAAAATGTTAAAATGAGAATTAATTACTCACATACTCTTATGTTATGACACATTTTTACAACAATGACTACAAAGCAGAAAGCTCCAGGCAAGTGCTTTACAATCCAAACACAAGAAAAATGTGACAAGACTGGAACAAGTCAAAACACAATGTCGCCAGAAGGAATGTTAGACATTAGGACAGAGTGTGTGGATATTATGTGAAGATTGTGTGCATTACTATTCTTTGTTATGACAAAAATCCGGCACATTTAGTACTTATTTAATCTTCTTACCATACACCCCGTTCTAAGTCGTACACCCAGATTTCATCACTAGGCAGGAAAACTTCATCATCAGCAATGGACTGTAAAGAATAAAACAAGGCTATTATAATGACATAACACTTATAGCCTGAATGTGTCTTTCTGTCTGTCATGATACGGAAGCAAATCATTATTATGGAGATATACAAACAAAAAATCTCATACAATAAAATAAGTCAAATTCTGAGAATGTGCTTAAAGCCATATTAGCATGCTTAATGAGGGTTTGCTTGGTTTGCTATATTTTTTCAAGTTTTCAAATGTTTCAGTTGTTAAAGAATGGCTTCTGCATAAACAGTGATAAAGGTAGTAAGATCCGTTGCGTGTGTAAAAGTAGTACTACCATATTGCAGACATTTCCAAAAAGTAAAAGAGCTGAAAATGTTATAGTAGAGTATTATCTGCAGAATAAAGTATTTGTTATGCAAAATGGCTAATTTGATATTTCGACACTTGATTATTATTGATCTATTATTAATAATGCACAATGTTGCCTAAGCAGCATTGAAATGTTTAAGCTATGGTTCATATTTAAAAAGCAGAGAATATGGTTTGTAGAAAAATTCTAATCAGAAAAGTAAAACAAACAAACAGATTAATTTAATAATAAAAAAGTTAAATACTTCCACCTGACATGTAGTAACCAGTTAGTAACTTGAGAGTAGAGTAAATTCTGGTTAATGTAGACACCCTCTTTCCTTTGTTAAACAGCTGGTTTAGAAATGTTGTTTATTGTTTGTTTTGCTCACCATGTACCCTCCCCACACATACAGCAGGTTCCCCTCGACCACAGCCGTGTGTCCGCTCTTCTCCCGGGCCACCAGCTCCGAACTGGGGCTCGATGCAGAGGCCATAGCTGGGTCCTATCAATAGAAAAGGTTTGAGGTTAAAATTATATATTTGTTAAAGAAATGTATTTAAAGGTCGCCAACAATATCAGCTGCTGTTGAAAGCAGTAAGGGAAGTGACCCATAACTGCAAGCAGAGCTAAAAAGCAAGCAAGCTTTTTCTATCCCTTTATGTTGTTGTCATTGCTTTAACATAAACATAAGTATGGTGGTTTGGCTCTATGAAACCGAATGTACTTATATGATTCTGTTTTCTTCAAGTTTGTATCTTCTTGGTCGAATGCACTTATTGTAAATCGCTTTGGATAAAAGCGTCAGCTAAATGAAATGTAATGTAAAAGTACATTATAGGCTTTGGTATTTGTACAAAATTGAAAGCTACATAACATTGTTACCCTAAGCTGACGTTACAGTGGCAACAACAACGGTTGTCGACCACGACAATACACACATTTTTTACATTTTCTTTTCTACCAATATACTAATACCCATACTCACCTGATTCAGAAGGCTTTTAGTTTACGGTCCCTTTTGTTCTCATGTTGTAAACACTAAAACACAGCATAGCAAAAAATACCTCTAGCTCAACTGTCATAAACGGTTATGGCTAGAAAGGATCCGTCTAATGTAAATATGACGTCAAGTTCTCGTTCTAACTCTCGTTGTAATCGGAGCGGCTCGGCTGTAATCGGAAAGGGTCCGGGTGGGCGGGACGCGGGAAGATCGCGGGAAGATCGAGAAGAGACGTCGTTCTAACTCTCGTTGTAATCAGAGCAGTGGTAACAACTCAAAGTCCTCAAGAGATAGGAAACGACAGCAGTGTGGGACCTTATTGCGGGAAATTACTGAGCACACATACCACCTACAGGATGAGACGTTCATGTGTACAGTGATATCAAGACTAAAGGATCTTTTGGAGGACGTAAAGCAACACACCCCACATGACAGTAGTCTTCCTCTCACCTTCACGCCCCCCAAACACAAAAGGCAGAAGAGGACCATAACACCTCTCAGTACCAGCCATCGTAGACACCCTTTTTCAGGCCGGGTGGGTCATAAAGCTGAGGTCATGAGATCCAACTACAGAGTGGACAGCTTGAACAAGATTTTAAAAGCTAAGTCCCCAGAGTCTAATGCGGGAGGAGCAGGCAGGGGTACGGAGAGGAGGAGAGATGCTTTAGGTAAGAACAAAGTATATTTACTTTTGCCATCTCCTCTATATTCACAAAACACAGCCAATCATCCATTCCAATCCTATGTGACATGGCACAGTTAATTTCACTCCAATAGAAATTGGTATAAAAGAGACCATTAGTCTTCTCATTGTGCTTATTGCTGTGGATAGGTGTTAACTATTGTTGTTGCATTGGATCATATCAAAAGTGAATGTTGGAAGCTTGGAGATGAATGGAGCTGCAAAGAGGCAAAGAGGCAAAGAGGCAAAGAGGCAAAGAGGCAAAGAGGCAAACAGGTGCTAAGTAAAACAACCTTTTGGATCCATTGCATGTGATTGATGGAGTTATAAAAAGTATATCATAAGCTGTCATTACAGTCTAAATATCTAACAGCAAAAGGAGGAGAGTCTGAGGAGGAGAGGAGATGAGGAGAACAGAGGAGAGGAGACAGCAAAAGGAGGAGAGTCTGAGGAGAGGAGAAGGAGAGGAGAGGAGACAGCAAAAGGAGAC